AAGTGTTTGACAAATCTCACAATAATGAACATCTATAAAATGTGGTTTTATGACATATCGTCGTGGGACTGCTATAATAGATGTAGCAGTGGTGTTGAAGCACAGAACCGAACACACTTTGTTTATATGATAATTTCAACATATTGCTGCTATGCGAAATTATCTACCATAAAATCTTCTGACAAGCGATCAGCATTATAAGCATTGGTCGAGCCTGTGGCAGCAAATCACTGCCACACCACTTGTTCATACAGAGCCCCCCGTGCTTACTTCGCACATCTTTCTTATTTTCAGAATTGTGGAATCAAAAATGCTTTTCGCACTCTTTTTGGCCGCTGCTCTTGTTTTCTCCACGTTTGGGCAGGGTGAGTTGTTACAAAGGAAGATTTAAACACCCAGTTCAATACTTTTCAAGTTCGTCTATAAGATGGTTCAAACTTGTATAACAAACTTCCCTGGTGGTTTCGATCGATCGAAATTCTAGGACGCAACATAAGATTGGCTGAGAGACAAGAAGCAGCTATGGAAACGCGTGGTGACGGAAAAAGTATGCCTTGGAGTCCAGATACAAAGCCAAGAATGGGACCAAGAGGAATGGAATCAGAAATGGGAGGCCGTAGACATAAATTTGGAGGAGGGGACCGTTTCGATGGCAGGCATGGATCCAGAGAAGGAAACCGTTTCAGCGGAAGACATAGATTCGAAGGAGGGGAACGTTTCAGCGGCAGACATGGATCTAGAGAAGGAAACCGTTTCAACGGAAAAGATAGATTTGGAGGCGAGGACCATTTCAACGGAGGAATGATGCAACGTCCGATGAAAAATTTAAGATTCGATAAGAAATAAAAATAACTACTTTACAGGATATTATTAATGGCATGCTTTCCCACCATTTTGCGCAAAGAGAAATGCACTTCTATGCCCCTTGTTGTGATAAATCTAAAATATGCTTAGAAAGCTTTAGATTTTTCTGGGAGAATATATGATCCCAATGAAAAGAGTGATTTCGGAGGAATCAAAGATCATCTTTATGTAAACAAAAGTGCTTTACAAACGAAATGTTGCAAGAATAAGTGACAGTATAATATACCATGGGCGCGCACACATCAGCATTGATAGTTCAAACCATTCCCATGTCCATGAATGGCCAGACTTGAGCGAACTGAGCTGCCAACAAAATCACCCAACAAAGTCATTTTTTCTGACAAAAACTTCAGCGCTGTGCATTTTGCAACGCTAGAGACAGTTCTCACTGACACCGTAGAGCAGTGGTTACTGATACAATTACTGATGTTCGGCACGAAGTCATGATTGTTCAGAAGTGCGTTATGCTGGCTGGCAATGAAATTAGCAACTTCAACGGGAGTGGCTCGTCAATATCAAACATTTCAAAATTTTGATATGGAAGATTGCTTGCATTTCAAACACGAAAACAGAGCAGATCCGAGGGCGCAGCATGC